ATTAAAATATTAAAATAATATCAAAGTTAATTATATTATAATAATAAAATAATAACAAAAACATTAAAAAATTATTGTGATATTATTTTGAGTTATTTTTATAGATCTAGATACAATATAATTACAAAATAATAACAAAAATACAATAAAAACATTTTGATGTATTAAATGTATTTTTGTAGTATTTTAAAATTATTACAAAATCATTTCAAAAAATTGGACATTTTTAGTAAAGTAACAAAAGTATAATAAAAACATTTTGATGTATTAAATGTATTTTTGTAGTATTTTAAAATTATTATAAAATCATTTCAAAAAATTGGCCATTTTTAGTAAAGTACTATAACTTTTTCTAGTAAAGAAATAACTAAATGTATGACCAAAAAGTTGCTTTTTATACATATATTTGTTTATATAGTTTATGTATAGCATACAATAAAAATTAAAATAAAATGAGATAATGCAAATCGAATGTTTATTGTTAATGTACTACAATAATTTTTAATGAACATCACATAAATGTACATTGTGATGTTTGACGAATAGTCCAATATATATAGGTTTTTTGATATACATTGAAAAGACTAATATACATTGAATGAACATTTTTCCTGTGACTTCCTGATGTTATCAGTAAAAATTTTACTTTTATATGAAATCTTACTTCAGAATTTGCTTAAATTCTATTGGTTAATTAATTAAAAAGAAAAAAAATCATAATAATGTAATATAAAATTTCCTTTTATAGTAGGATCTTTAAAGAGTTTATATGTAAACCTTACCTTAAGCAATAGGTAACCTATCTTAATACACTCCCCTACAATAAATTACCGGATTTGACAAAATTTACATAGCAATTTTCACATTGCATATAAATTTACGAATTTTTAATAAAATTCAGTCAGAATTTTTTTATTTGAAAGTTGATCGTAGATAGTTTTTATGTATCAAAATAAATAAATATAATTAATTATAAATATAAAAAAATTTTCTCATTGCAAAAAATTATGAAATTCTCACTTTTTTTTAGCAATAGGTCAACTCTTTAAAATTTTAGAAAAATTTTCTTTATTTTTTAATACAAGAAAACTACAATTAATTGGCTTTCAAATAAAAAAATTTTGACTGAATTTTATTGAAAATTCATAAAGTTTTATATAGCCCAAAAATCAACAATTTTACTAGTAAATCTTATAAAAATTTGTAATTACAGTCAACTCTCTTTATAGTCACACATTTGGGACAGTCCATATTTGGTGATTATAAAGAGATGTGACTATATAAAAAATTTCTTATATTTGTATATCATAATTCCGGCCAAAAATTAACATAATTTTAGCC